CCATTTTCATAAACCGTGGATGCATCGCATTACAAATTACGCACGAACATCACACACACACACACACACACACACACACATACATTTATATAGGCATACATATATATAGATGGGAGGGGTGGATAGAGGAAAGGGAAGGGGAACTCACACGTACGGGGTGTTCGACAGACTAGCTATATCTGGCTATGGAACGACCTCTCGGATGTGGCTGAAGCAGAAGTGTGCAAGTTACGTAGGTAGGCGTGAATGTCAACAGTGCTCGAGGCAGGTGAAGGGGTGGGCAGGCAGGCGGACAGGCAGGCAGGCGGACAGGCAGGCAGGCAGGCTTAATGTCACTCAAATGAATGGTCCGGAGGATGGAAAGCTCTCCATGATAGGCGATGGAAAGGCAGTTAGGTAGTCCTTCACAGCTTTCAGCAGGCAGCGCAAACGTCATTGCAGTGCAAACACAACAATGCCGACAACTTCAAAAATGGCTTTTTTTGCTGGTTTGCCAAAGCGCCATGGTCATCTTCCAAATTACAAAGTAGCCGGATGCGTAAAACCACATCACATGGTAGTTAAGTGCTTTTACGTGGGCGTTTCGACGGGTGCACAATTCCACGAAGTAGCTTACAGCCGTCTGTAATGCTGTGCCGTCTTCCAAAACGGTTAAGATTTTGCTGCATTTAGCACTTAGCTACCACTTTAATTACCTCTAGCATAAAAACGCAAAATGTAAGCCGTTGGAGTGGAGGAGAAGGGATGGAACGGAGAGGGAGAGACAGAGAGAGAACTCACCACAGTGCTCTTTCTGCCACGGCCCACGGAGGATCGAGGGGCGCAACGACGCTGACGGCCGAGGTTACTGTTCAGACCGGCGGTAGAGGCGGAGCGCGAGCTCGTCCGTCGACTCGGTGTCGCCTCCTTCTTGTCCGTCAATCGTGCATACAGCTAAGTGGGTGGACAAACACACAGGGTGGTGGCAGTGATGCAACGTATGTTGACAAAGAATGGCACAACAGTATCGCATGTCAATGAAGCTGTTATTTTGATGATGACCCAAGTAAGCCTACTGAGATTGGATTCATGATGTAGCTTTGTGAGGTACGGAATGAGTTTTGCTTAGGGATTTTTAAATCGCCCATTACCACACCCCGTGAATGCTAAATTAAAGTCATGTGCAAAAAAAACACTTCAGACATCATGATCACAATGGATTGACACTACCGCCTAGGGAGCGATAGAGAGAGAGGGAGTGGAAGAAAGGGAGGGTACCTTCACCACTGCAAAGCACACAGCCCGACCACGCAGTTTAAGGAAAAAAAATACTCAGAAATAAAAAAAGAAAAACAGAAATGTCCTTATGGGTGGATGTGCGAGGCGTACGCGCCTTTTACAATCCACTTGACGCACTCCAGCGACACCCTACCACCACCACCACCACTTGCTATCTCACCAAGCGGCTTTTTAAACGCACTAACATTTCCTGAAACCAACTAACGAAAGCGCAGCCATCAACAAAGTGGCGCAAAAGTGTGCAAAATTTGCTGGGAATAGGAGATCCACCAGCAACGCCCCCTGTCCTCTCCCCCTACCCACCGTTGTCAATGGCGGGTGCAGGAGAAAAGAAAACAGGCAGACCGACTACAGCAGACTGACAGTGCAGTTTCAACGACGCAGTGGGATGCTAAAAAAGTAGCCAACGCTACACTAAGTCCTGGGGATGAAGAGGCGGGAGGGGGTAGATAGGAGTCGACGGAGGGAGCAGCTCTTCTGCACCATGGCAACCGATAAAAACAAGGCAAAGCGCGACAACCTTGGCTATGGCGATGAGGAAGGGGAGAATCAACAACGCACCAACAGTCCGTCCGAAGGGGCATTCGGCACTGTTCGCGGAGGCGAGCGCAAGCCTTTGAGAAATGTTAATTTCAAGGCACTTCTCGCCTACATCAATCGCTTAGTCGTAAAAAAATGTCCACATGCTGCGAGCTTGTGCAAGGGAAAGTGCTACACAAATAGTTTAGTGCTCGACGCAGAGTAGAGCGTCTTTTGATGGAATAATCACGGTGGCCACAGCGGCGCCGTTGTTCGCCTTATCTGATGAATTGGTCGGGTGAAGAGGCCGACTAATTGGTCGGTGGGAGAGCTTGAAGATGGTAATTAGGGTTACAAACAATAATGGTGTATTCCAAATGAGAATGGCTACACACTTAGGTGGCTGATCACCACACCACTCCTCGTTCAACCAAATCTATTGTCTTTTTGCAATTTTCGTGTAAGTAACTCCTGTGCCGAAGTTATTATTTACCACGGTTTCTTCTCACGGGCAGTCGACGAAGCCGTTCGGAAGGATAGCAGAGGGAAAAAGCTCTCCAACCGCTACTGCTGACTTCGAAGGCAGGGTGCGATAATTAATCATTTCGGTAAGGCGAGATCGCTGTCCGGCAAACGCTTTGCCTCCTCCTCCGCCTCTGCCTGCCACCGCACTTTGATACCATCCAAGACTAAATGAATAGTAGGCTACTACTCCCTTTTAAGTATTCCTCTTCCACGGCAACGCCTTTGAAAGAATTTCTCGCCTCTCCACGACTCGGTGATCACGAGACACAAGTGTAGCCAAGGAGATTGCAACACTCATGCCACATTAAGTATCTGGCTGAATTTCGCAGAACTCATCAACAACAACAACAGGGGTGCTACACTTGAAGTGTGCACGATAGTGCCTCTGTGACCTCGTCGCTTTCCACTAATGTGCGTTACAAGTCTGCCTGAGATGAAAAAATTGGAGGAAGTAGCAAAGGAGGCAGCATTGTCGTACCAGCAATCCTACGCTCAAGGAGAACTGATAGACACTTCCTGCCTTTTGTGTCGGAATGACGGGAACACAGAAAAACTGGTTGAATTGGAAGTGCGCAAATGCAGTCAGAAATGAACAAGTGTTTGATTTCTCCACTCGCCGCCACTGGAGGGTGTAAGAGAATAATGAATGAGAAGCACGGTGGTTGTTCTGCCTGTCTGGGTGTTTGCATATCTCTCTCCACGTGTGTGCGTGTGTGTGTGGTCGCCTCATCCCCCATCCCCACCTCTCGTAAATAAACACACACACACACAGCCGCCATCTGATAATGGCATCACCCACCCACTTACCCGGCTAGCCATATAGTAGTGAGTGATTCCATTTGGTGGCGCTTATAATTTAGCAGTGCCACTGCAGCGGTTAAAAAGTTAACTCTCTTCTCTCTCTCTCTCTGTGTGTGTGTGTGTGGTGTGTTCATCTCTTCAACCTACATGTCAAAAGTCGGCAAGTACGCTATTGCAAGGACGGCGCGTTTTTATTGTGAAATGGTGCCTACAAACGCACCCACGTGTGCACGTGTCGCGCTAAGCACTAAAACACGGGCATTTTTGCCTTTCAAGTGTAAAATGAGGTTTCATTATCTTCAAAGCTGCCCCTATTACCTCCCGCCTCTTCCACTTTGCAATTTCGTACTCCGGTGAGAGGGAAGGCGGAGGCCTTAAAAAAAAGGGCGGAAAAATACTCTCGCCAGCACAAAACTGCCTTCCGTTCAACAGGGTTGAGCTGAGAGAGGCAGTTTGTGGAATGGGCAATATCCTTCCACCACCTGCCTAGAGGAGAGGAGATAACAGTTACCTCTCCCTCCTTAAAAAGAAGCACTGCTGGTGGTCGTGACGGTCAGAAATGATGCCTTCATTGAACATCACCAACGCTCATTCGACGTATAAAGGCAGGATGCCATGCCTCCCAGGCATGGCATTGAAACACCCACTTTGCATTGCATACACCAAATGTGCTCACAAAGACCACTTTACATTTGAGTGGCATAGCTGGGTAGATAGGACGGTTCTGGGTCGTCTACTGAACCACATCAAGGTACTTGTTAACATTAACTTGAAATAAAGAAGTAGTGGGTCAAAAGTAGCTTTCCAATGGCAAGTACTTTTCAATTTTACTAAAAAGTATTCTGAGCGATAGCTTGAAACCCGTGAGCTAAAACAGTAGAAAATCGGCTTCATTCAGCTTTGAGTACACATTGATCAAAGGAGTTTGGACTACGCCCAACATGACAGGAGTAGGTCTCGACAACACTTTCCCAAAGGCAAAAAAAATGAACCCCAGCATGTCCGAATGCGTGGAACAAATTCGTGTGCCTAGATAAGGCCCTGCGGGGCCTAACAGTCGCCTCAAGACATCACACAAACGCGCGCACACCATCCAGTTTTGTCCACCGGAGAGGGGAGGGGGGAGCGGAAAAACTCCCCTCCCTAGGGCGTGGGGAGGGGAAAGGCGTATTTCACGTTTTCGGATTAACAAGTGCGCAAGTGGGGCGATTTGCAATGGCTGACATTGGAACTGATAAACAAGAGCGATTCATTGTTCGATGGACCAGGGATTTGTTTGTCCAAAAAAAGGGGCAGGGGAAGGAAGGGTAAAGGCATTATAAAGGGGATACACCCCCACCACCACCACCACCCGCGTCATCACTACTGGTAAAGGTAACACGCACACATAATCACAATGGGTGGATAAACAATCGCCACAGTCTACGCTACACAATTTCTACTTTCTTTTCAGCAAAACCGGAGCAAACAAATGGGTCCACGAAAATGGTGTGCGAGTCCTCCCTGCACCGGATGCGCGGATACGTTTGTCAGGCAATGGTGCAAAGGTTGGTTGTATAAAAGGTAAATTGTTTCAGACCGTTGAAGAGGACACAAACACCCCCACAACTACCACCACAACTGCCACCACCACCACCACCACCTCCAACCGCCTCAACTGCAGCCTACTGCGTAAACGCCTAGATATGCTTGTAGAAACAAGAAGTAGAAAGACAATAATGCTTGTAGAGACAAGAAATTGCAGAGGTAAACACTTGTTCATTTTACACTTGTATGTGTGGTGACGGTTCTACTCCAAGTGGTGGTGATACGCAAACCAATGCATAGGAATGGAAATGGGCAGTGATTGAAGCCTGCACGTCCAACTTGAAGAGTAAAGGATGCAAGGGAACGAAGTGTGCGCCTTTGTAGTAGTTTTATGCAATAGGCGCCAATGCATGTAAAACTGGTGTTACGGAGCGCTTGGTGCACGGATGGATGGATGGATGGATGGATGGATGCGAATTTGGCACAAAAGCGCACGACAAAAATACGCCAAAAATGCATTTTGCACAACACGAAAACCACCAACTTCACGGATTACAATTAAGGGGCGTACTCATGGTTTCGGTAATTTGATGTGAAACTGGAGCATGTCGCTCCGTCGGAAAAAAAAATACCAAAACATCATTTAGAGAGTAACTAGCATAATTAGCTTTATTTACCAAGCCATAGGCCTTTCGTTGGGCAAAAAACTTAATTACGCGTGTACTTAGATAACAGGGCTTATGGGTACACAATTGCCACACCAAGGACCGCTGCGACACAGTGGAAGAGTACCAAGCAGTGCGAGCCCACACCCATGGGTAGGATCTTCAGCCACGAATGAATGAATGAATGAATGAGTCGACCGATCCGAATACTGGATCCTCCTCGCGCTAGTTATAACGGCTACCAGGGTAGTAGGAACACCCACGTACTGGAGCATGAGGCACTAATTTGTGTGCTGACACCAGCGCACACGGGGAGAAACAGACACACACACACACACACACACACGCAAGTATTGAAGCGTTAAAGAAGCAGCAGCAGTAGCATCAACAGTAAAGTGTGTGTTTATGCGCGCCACGGAGAGATGAATCAGCACCAGAGATGAATGCGTGTGAAGTGATATAGGGGGTAGGGTGGGGCGGGGTGGGAGGAGGAAGGGGTTGACCAGAGAGCAACGCCCTCCTTACTGATTGTGCTGCGATTTATGTACACACACACACACACACGTCTCAGCAGAGATCAAGGAAGCCAAAAACGGACGTCTTCTGGCTGATGCAAGTGACCACTCAAAAAGGCTGAGAGTGACAGGAAGGGAAGACGAAGAAGAGGAAGGTGGTTGTGAAACCCAACCGCACGCACACGCACACTGCCTCCCCTTCGCCGACCCTTCCGCCTGTCAGTGGATGTGCGTGTGTTTGCGCCAGCGCAATTGACCACGCAAATCTGACAGCGTCGTTTACTCCTTTCGCCTGTTTGCTTACTTGTTTGCCTCTGTACTCCTCTGGCGAAGTGAGAGAAAGTGATGCTTGATACACCAGTTGGCATAGCCACAGGGAACCACGGCTAAATTATTGCGATTTTCCGTGAAAACAGGATGCTTCAGTCCTAGTTGAAGAAAGGCAGCCTCCAACGAAGGGCAATTATGCCACCGTAACTATGATGGATGGTGTTGTCAACGGCGCGAGGCCAAACAGCCTTCACACTGAAAGAAGAAAGTCCTGACGAATTTGAAAGATCTACAAGCAAGCACGATTTGTTTTGAAGGGGAATTCGGACTAACGAGACAGCACAAAACAAACACCAAGCATTCCTTCTGACGCACTCTCAAGCTAATTGCCAACCACTTGAAATTTTGGGTACTGAAATTAGCAATTTTGCTACGATCCTTTGAGGGAGTGGGCATGTAAACTCAACGCTTAAGTGGGACACATGTGACTTATTTCGCTGATGCCGGTACAGAGAGAAGGCGTTGTTATCACCAACGTAGGTGACTAAAAAAAGAAACTTGAAGGACAGGCAATGGAATAGCCACAATGCGTGGCATTGGTGTAAGGCACGTAGATTAGAATCGGCGTTCTGCAGCGCACATGCGTCATAGTCAGCTCCTGTCTATTCCGTCGGAACAGTCCGACGACATTCCACCACTAGCCATAGAGAGGAGTGATGGTGACAACCCCATCCCCCCACCCCGTCCCAAAGCTCTCTCACATACTACCTCCCTCCAAATGAATGACTAACCTCAACCATCAGTAGGCACCCAAGTCACGACCCCGTGACACTAAAACGTGGTAATAAAGTTTGCCAGGGTGCAAAGAAAGCCTGCATTGAATAAAACGTGTGAAACAACTGAAAGAAAAAAGAATCAACAAGTTGCACTTCTATCAGAAGAGGACGTCGCATTCCTTTTTGTCCGAAAAAAAAATAAGATTAAAGCAGTGATTTCGAGGTATGTCGACGATTACTCATTTGAACGTACTCTAGAAGCTTTTCAGTGCATTGTCCGAAATCACCTCTACGAAAGTGCGAGGAACAGGGAAGGGACAATTACAAGAGGAAGAGAATGGAAGGTGCTTTCTGGCCTCCCCCTACATGCTCTCTCGATCCACGACAACACCAACAAGAGGCGAATTGAGAAGGGAGGGATGCAGGGGAGAACCTACTAGCAAGCTTAAACCTCGTGTGGGTGACCGAGATGGAGAGAGAGAGAGAGAGAGAGAGAGAGAGAGAGAGAGAGAGAGAGAGAGA